CTGGTCTTACATTTTATCTTCAATGTGGAATCAAGTTGTTTTTTTTTTTTTTTTAACTTTTGGAAGCTTATTTTACAGTTCTAGGTGGTGTTTTAGCAATACTATTCCTAATTACAATTTAGAGATGAAATTTTCTTTCATCCTGATTAATCTTTTAAATAAATATGCAAATATATCAAGTGCTCTATATAAAAAATACACACAACAAACAACCCCTCAAATAATAAAACCAAGATTAATAAAAATATGTACTATATTACACATGTGAAATGGCATCTAATTTTGAAACTAGAATGAAACAATTACACAGGAATCAGAAGACATAATCTAAAAAGAATCAGCATATATAAAATAATGGCATTGCCTCTGTAAAGACAACCTGAGCATCTCCCTATTTAAAAATATATAAAGACCCAAACCAGTGTTGTCTGTGCATTTACAGCTACTGAACATAAGATAAATTAGGAGGAAGTTTGTGGATTTCTTCATTCAATGTCTGAATAGGGAGATGAATAACACAGCACAGACTTTTTCTGGTTTTAGAAGAGAAATTTAGCCTCCAAGACAATGAACTATCTCCTTTCCATTGAGACTTATGTTCAATTAGGATTTAAAGAGAGGAATAATTCTTCCTCTGGATCTCCATACTTAGGTACTCATCTCACTAACATCAGTTTAAGCACAGCCTTCAACAGATAATGTTGATTGATAATGACAAATAGAAAAGCTTCCTTAAAAACATGACAGGAATGATACAAAAATCAACGCGTTGCTCATAGATGAAGTCAGAAAACAGTACATGTGTATTTGAAAACTTCACTTTGTCTTGGGACCTTTTGCCTAGGTGTAAATTGCCCCTGAGATCTGCCTGCAGACACCAGGGCACTGAGCATCTCAGTGAAACACATGGGAAACTGCTGGAGGGCTGTGACTCACAAATATAATCAACAGTCTTGTGCTTTATGTTCCAGCAAAGATCAGTGCTGGCTAAAGTTAGCATTTAGCCAGATGAATACTCATCCTCCAAACTGCTTCATATGGAGAACATAAAAGACCATTCTTTAGCAGAACAAAGCCAGGTGCTATGGTTGGTGCACAGGAATAACCCTGCAACAGGCTGCTCTCCACCCCACAGCTGATGCAGACCACAGCTTGCAATTACTGAGATGGTTTTTAGTTGCATTCTCTTGGGGCAGCCCAATTAGAAGTTCTCATTCTCCCTCCATTCCAATACACTGTCTTTAAAATGGCACAGACCACTGGCAGTAAATCATTTTCTTTCTGACAATTCATATCCATATAATGCACAGCATCATAGCTTCATACAAATACTTTACATAACAGACACAAAAGGACAAAACCAAAGCATATAACAATGCAGCTCAGCTACTCTACTATATTACATGGCTGGGAGAGTTTCCTTTAATTTTCTTTGATCTTTTCTGTAGAATTTGAACTTCTGCTACCAATAAGCAAGCAGTGCTTCTTTTGGTGTGTTGAAAAAAAAAAAGCGGATGGAAAAATGTAGATGAAATAGAATTCAGAGGAAATGAGCAAGATCATAGAAAGGCAACTTTTAAAACATCACATGGTGTAACATAACAGTTGCAGGGGAAACAATTTCACTAGGCTCAGCATCTCCCAAGCAGAATGGAGCAGAAGGAGATAGAGACCTATTCTTCAGGAACAAATACTGTCATCTTCCCTGATGATCTCTAATTGCTTGATTTGTGCATGTGTGACAGAGCTGGGGTCATTTTGTTTTATTCATTATCCTAACTAACAGACTCATTAAACACATGCATGGACTTGGAGAGGGAGAAAAGCAGTGAACACCTCAAAAACTCCACGATAATTGTACAGGGGGTTATGACAATAAAGTATAGAAGTTTATTATGTATCAGCTGATGGTTCCATCTCTTCATTCCCTCTCCCAAGAAGACTTGCTGTAAGGCCACAGACATTTAAAAATAGAGATAAATAAATTTTGTCCTTCTGGGTTTCCCCTCTTTGCAGACAAAGCCATAAACAACTATCAAATGTCACTTTTTGTTTATACCAGCAGATTCTGAACACGCTTACTGCTTTTTCTGGCTGGAAAGCATTTCTGAGGAATTCTGATGTTCTAGACATTGTTTAGGATGCCATTTGGGTTTCAACTGAATTTTCACTCTTGACATTTCCTCACTTACTCATGTACCATGGCAAGTTTAGTACCTTAAATGTAAGTGACTGAGTAGTTCTTTAGCTCCACACAGTGAAGATTCTTCATCTGGGGAGCAATGGCATAGACATGTGTTCCTCCTAACACTCAGGACACAGTCAGAGTCCTCTGTGTCAGAACTGGGAACTGAAAGAAAGCATTATGCAACTCTTGGGGGCTTATTTCAGAAAGCACATATCAATTTTTTAACTCAGGCACCATTTTAAAGGGATTACAAATGAATAAAACTTATGTTTATGTTCAAAGGACATCAGTAGCACAGTGCATCTGTGAATTCCTGCTCAAGTTCCATGTGATTTTGGTTTCCCCAGCCCTGATCTACTTGGCAACTTGGTACCACTACACTCCAGTCTTCATGTCAAGCTCCAGATGATTTTGTGTTTCATTAACAGTCAGGAATTCATCACATGCTTGTGTTCGGTCATTTGACTGTTCTTTATGAACCAAGTGCACCATTTCTTGTGATTTGCTGACATCTCCATTTAATTCACTTGTCTTTCTGTCCTCCACTGCTCCTTTGCCATTATTGATCACTAGTTTTTTCTTCTGTCCACATCTGGAAAGAAATAAAAATAAAATACTGTAAATGTAGACTAACAGAAATAAGAAAAAAAAAAAGAAAGTCAATATTTAGGAAAAGGTGATTGGACATGAAATTTGTGTCTGTCAGTGCAGACTTACACCATGCAAAGTGTAAAGTTTCTCTATATTGCTTATTTTATTTTTGAAACATATTTATATGTGCAAATGTTTGCATTTTATACATTATATGCAGAAAATTTGTCAGTAACTCACTCAACTCCATTGTTACTACATACAGGAATAACATTCACTACTAAATGCTACAAAAAATTTTCTAACATTTGAATATATCCACAGTTATGAACTTTGCATATATCCTACTCTAAGGACAGAGTTCCAAAATCCAGACTAGGGGACCACACCTTTGACAATGCACAGGTTCTGGAGAGAATGGAAAATCTGGATTGTGGTCTCATGTCATTGCACAAGATAACTCTTTTCTTCTTTGTATTAGCATGTCAGGCCTTGAAGCCAACCAACAGCAAGGAAATGTAGAGAACTAGTTGTGCCATTTTCCACAACATGGCTCCTTATAGTGTTAAGGTAGGAAATAGAATCCTAGAATCACAGAATTTAGGGGTTGAGATGGACCTTAGGGATCATCCAGTCCCAACCCCCTGCCCTGGGCAGGGACACCTCCCACCAGAGCAGATTGCTCAAGGCTCATCCAACCTGGCTTTGAACACTGCCAGGGTTGGGGCAGCCACAGCCTCCCTGGGCAACCTGGGACAGTCTCTCACCACCCTCACAGGGAAAAACATTTTTCTCTCATCTAATCTAGACTTTCCGTCTTTCGATTTGAACGAGTCCATCTCCAGCTCCCTTGTAGCCCCTTCAGATATTGAAAAGTTGCTCTGAGGTCTCCACACAGTTTTCTCCAGGCTGAGCAGCCCCAACTCCCTCAGCCTGTCCCCACAGGGGAGATGCTCCAGTCCTCTTAGCAACTTCGTGGCCTCCTCTGGACTTGCTCCAACAGTTCCATGTCCTTCTCATGTTGAGGACACCAGAACTGTGTGCAGTATTCCAGGTGGGTCTCATGAGAGCAAAGGGCGAGAATCCCATCCCTTGCCCTGCTGCCCACACTCCTTTGGATGCAGCCCAGGATTCCATTGGTTTCTGGGCTGAGCTCACACTGCAGCTCATGATGAGCTTCTCATCCACCATCATGCCTAAAATAGGTACTGTGCTTTTAAACCTCCACTCACTGCAGTGATAGCCAATAAAGTTCAGATTGTAGCTCTGAATAAACATGAACACACACCCCTACACACCCCCAAAGTGATGCACACTGGTCCTTGTGGGCTGAGTACTCTTTAGGGTAATAAGAAAGTACTAGTTACACAGCTCTCAGATTTGCCTCAGACTGTTATGATGGTTCTCTGGTTACACAGTTCTGAACATTCTCCTTGTCCTCCAACAGCCTTGTGTAAACTGAGCACACTAAGCATAGCTCTCTCAAGAGGGACAATGTCTCAGCAAAGTTGTACTTTTAAGTGCTTTCTTTTAAATGAAGTACATTTTGCCTGAATGACTAATTTGGCAGTTCAATTATACAATTATCCTTCTAACTACAACTTTTTTTTCATGTTTACTGACTCATAGATGAGGGTTATTTTATTTGAAGCAGCTAAGTTCACTGTGCTAGTTACACACACCCTTGGGATTGTCTTCCTGCTCTGCAGCCATAAAATGCCAAAACATGTCAGCAGGGAGCTGGGGAGCTCCAGAGCCTCTTCAAAGAGCAGCTCAGAGTGCTCTGCAACCAAAGATGAGGAATAAATTTGCTCACTGCTACCTGAACAAAAATCTCCAACATATTATATGGTTACTCTGATAAAAAGAGTTGAACATTCAATTAGCAAATAGTTACTCTGTTTAAAAGGTTCAACTTTAACATTCAAGAAGCAAAAGGCTGTTTAAGACAATTGAGAAATAACCTCAGAAGAGCCCACAGAGAAAAAATAGAGGTAAGAGAATTACAGCCTATCATTTAGGATAGTTTGTTCAAGTTTTCCGGCAAACTTTGCAACTTTCCATTCCTCAGCTTCTTCATCTGTAAAGTGGAGTCAATAAATCTACTGAGAGCTCTGACAGCAATGTTAGAATAAACTCTTGTGAATGTCAGCTGTGATACTGCCTCTTGTTTGAGAGGAACAGATTAATCTCATGATAGTGATTGACTATCTGGACTGACTGTAGAAGACAAAGTTGCTTGGAGACCTCATAGCAGCCTATCAGTATCTGAAGGGGCTACAGGGAAGCTGGAGAGAGACTCTTTGGTAGAAACTGCAGTGATAGGACAAGGGGTAACAGGTTCAAATTGATGGAGGGGAAGTTTAGGTTAGATATTAGGAAGAAGTTTTTCCCTGTGAGGGTGGTGAGACATTGGCACAGGTTGTCCAGGGAGGCTGTGGCTGCCCCAACCCTGGCAGTGTTCAAGGCCAGGCTGGATGAGCCTTGAGCAACCTGCTCTGGTGGGAGGTGTCCCTGCCCAGGGCAGAGGGTTGGCACTGGATGATCTCTAAAGTCTAACCTTTAAAATTCTATGATTCTATGACTGACACAGCCCTTCATACCATGCAGAGACTACACAGTTAACGGTAGAGGATTATACTTGGGTTATCTTGTGGTTGCTGCTGTCTATGTTCATCTCTCAGTTTTCACTGTCAGTGAACAGGATTTTCCTATTAATAACTAATACATAGAAAACAATTGATTTTCCATGATTGATATACCATTGGTTTCCATTTATGGGTAAAGACCAAACAAAACCACTCCTGACTTCATGTGGTTCCATGGGAGTGTCAAGGCTGCTGTGTGACCAGGGCAGGACATGGTGACTTAGGCCCTCACAGCCCAAGTCACAGAGCTTCACAGAGGATGCTCCTTCTGCTCTGCTCTTTGACAAAGCTTTGGAGCCTCTCAATGAAAAAACCAGTAAATCAGTGTGTTTTGAAGATGTAAAGGTGTGACCTTACCTTCTCCGACTGTTAACAGCAATGCACACTGCAAGAATCAACGCAAGTACCACGAGAGAAACAACTATGATCAGCCAGTCTGCAGGGAGAGTTAAGAGAGGGGAGAAGAACATGTTAATGTGTCCCATGTAGCTTTGCCATTTCACAGAACTGCAAGATCACAATCTCTTTTACCATCTTCAATCTGTCAGACCTTTTTCCTAGCTTGCACGAATGTTTGCAAAGTGCTTCCGTGCAAATCAAATATGTTTCCATCATTCAGCTGTACACAGGCCAACTCAGAGGAAACACCCTATCCCTGCTAGCACCTCTAAGCACTGCACTTTGCTGGGCATAGGTGAAGAGGAGCTGTGTCACTGATTCACTCAAAGGCTTAGCATGACACACCTACAATCCCAGGCACAAAAGTAGGCTGACTTTTAGTACATTTTTAGCAAAAGAAGTTTCCCAACTTTCTCAGTAGCCTATTCTCTACTGTCATTATAGCTGTAGTACCATCATGGCAGGAAGTTCTCTCCTAAGATCTAATTCCTTTATTTTGTTTGTTTGAAACAAGTCTCTCTTGCCTAACAAAACTACATTTCACTTGAAACAAATTACTTCTTCTAATCAGTTTATTATTACTCCACGGTGAAAAACTGATCAGCATTCCTTTTGTAGCATGCTCTTCTTATATCTCCATTTGGTTTTCTCTGAAAATGATGAGTTCTTCAAAGGTTGCTTCAAAGGTTATCTTTCCAAAATATTCTGTGTGTTCTTCTCCATTTTTAGCCCCGTGGGATTAATGCAATGCCTTGAACTGAACACAGAGCTTCAGCTCTGGACTTGCTAGGCCTAAGTAGAGTGGGATAATTACTTTCTCTGTTTAAAAAATTACTTTAGTGTTAATATGTCCCAGAATATATTAGAATTCTTTTGTAACTGTGTCATGGTGTTGGCTTCTTTTTATTCTGTTTTAATCTGCAAACCCTATTCTGCAACAATTGTCTCACCTATTATTTTCACTGAACATTCTCATGGATATGATACTTTGCATGTATCTTTAGTATCTTCTGTTTGATTTCTGTCTATATATAAAGGTTATTTGGATCTCAATCTCATTCTCCAAATGCATGATTTCACTCATCTTCATGTTGCTAGAAAATTATATAGTTACAATATGCTCCATTTTCCAAACTACTAGTGAAATGATGAATATTCTTTGGTCCAGAACTAAGCTAAACAACTGGACTTGACCTTCATTTTCATCTCTTACTTTGGTTCATATGAATACAATTCTGTACTTCGATTTTTAAAACATGTGACTTCAGGAACCTACCTGGTACACGGGCTGACCTTGGCTGTGTAGCTATTTTTACTGTGCTGGTCTCTCCAGGGAAAGTAGTGGATTCATAATGTCCCTTGTGTGGTCCTTGATTACCATATATACTGGAGGTAGATGCTAAAGAACAAAAAAACCAATCCATCAGTCCATGTATGCTCAGTGAATATTTGACAGCAAGGTACAAAGACTATGATTGAAAAAACATATTCTAGAAAGTTCACACTGAGGCAATCAAAAAGTATTTATACTGAAAACTATTGCATAGACTATAAGAATCACACTCATCTAACTATGGCTAGATTAGGTATTTTTTGAAAGCAAAACTCATGGTTTTCCCCTCTTATCTCTCTCAGATGTTTCCATTTTTGTGAAGCAGAATGTGATTAGGACTGACTAAAAATTTTCTGAAGAAAATGTAAAGACACGAACATTGGCAACTTTTTGAAGTTGGCTAAAAATTTTCTGAAGAAAATGTAGACACGAACATTGGCAACTTTTTGAAGGGGCTTTTGTCATACAAGTCAAACATCTTGTCTGTTCCATGGGGAAATGAGAGTGAGGAAAGAGAGAGAGAGAGAGAGAGAGAGAGAGAGAGAGAGGATTTTACTTTTTAAACCTGAGATGATCAATAAGGAGAAATTTTGAAACTTTTAATTGTATTTCTACACAGGATAAAACTGAATGTCTAATGCACTCATAAAACAGAATTATAGTTCCCTGAATGGTTTTAAATTTGATAGCTATGGACAGAATAGGACTCTAAACACTCCAAATATTTCTCCTAAACTTACATGTGGATACTCTTGTCCTTTTTAGCAAGTTGTGTGATTTGATTCTAAGACTATATTAGATCTGAAATCAAAATGCATCCTTCCACTCTCAAGTATTTGCTATGCAGGCCATACTTTTATGCAGTTACATTTCTGGCCTATACTGTTACCTTAAGGGTATCCCAAGTCTAAAATGATCATCAGACTACAGATATAGTGATTTAATTTGGGACTACTACTTTATTATCACTAGAAAAATATATTACAGATCTCCACCTCTCTGAATTCTCCCAGACTTTAACAGAGCACATAAAGCACTAATTCTAATCAGCTGTAAAGTTCTTTTACTTTAACACACGTTGCAACTCATTTCTATCCAGAATTTCTGATCTCATTTCCTAATAACAGCTGGAAAATGCAAAACTGAGAAGCATATTTTTTCCCCTCTCTTAAGCTTAGCCAGCAAGCAGTTTCTGAATCTTCCAGATGTTTTCATTATTTTTATTAACAAGAAACTTACTGACTGGTGTGTTGCTTAGTGCAATCTCACCACAGAGGACAGAGAACTAATTCAGCAACTAAGGGTCCTGGTCTAGCACTGAAGAAAGCTGACCAAGAGGAACATACTAAGTTGTCCACCAACTGTGAATTTGTTATAATAACTTTGTTATTAAAAATAACTTTGTTATTAAAATAACTTTGTTATTTTGTGAATTTATTATTCTGTGGATGATGTCCAACCACAGGTTAAATATTGCTGAAGAGAAAAAAAGGGAATGAAGCAAAGTAGTATAGTACATCAAATCATTCATATGTTCAGAGAAAACCTTTAACTAAAGTCTGCCAATACATTCATTAATCTTCTCCATACCATTACCACTATACATGGGGAAAGATTACAGATGAACAAACCTGTCAATAAATCAGCTTTTTATGACAATGGAAGTGTCCTAGTAATTCCCTTGTATTGTGTTTTTTAAAAGCACTAGGAGAAGGTAAATGAAAAAAGGAAGAGTGTTGGATAAATGGCCTTATGAGCCTTTTGCCAGGGCACTGATGATGCAAAGATCTGACACAGATATTCACACTGAAAAAGACCTTCAAACTAGTTCTTACAGGTTTTATGTGCTTGAAACAGAAAGCTAGCAAACATTTTTTCACAGTGTGTAATGTCTGCACATAAAATTAAGGAGGCAGGTTGGATTAATTAAGTAAGTAGGGCAGTAAAAGTCAAGAAATGAGTTTGTTGTAGTAGGAATCTGTTCTTAAAAATACATTTTGCTTTCCAATAAAATTCTGTCAAATAGATATTTAGCATTTATATTGTTATGTCTATGTAAAAATATTATAACCAGGCAATTTTGATAGAGCTCAATTTACTGGGTTTATAGAACATTCTGGAAAAAAAAAAGTAGGCCAAGTTCTACTTCACAATGTCTGAATTAACATTAAGTAATTAATAACAGAATTATCTTTAGAGTCTCTTAAAGTTTGCTATAAAAATATAGGTACATAATCTTCCTTATGTGCAAAGAATGTCCACGGAGTATTGCCCAAATTGTACCCTGGAATGGTTCCACTAACTTCCAAGAAAGTGCATGAAAATAGTGTTTGGATTAGCTGCATTTGGAAAAAAAAACCCCTTACTGTTAGGATGATTATTTGTATGGAAACAGCATTTGGGAACAAGGAAAAGAAACTAAATTTCCTGTACTATTAACATGTGACCACACATGAAAAAAAAAATCACATGCTAAATGAGTATAATAAGCAAACACTGTTACTGTTAGTTGTACTAACTTTATCAGAAGAACAACACTTTAAAAACCAAATTTGTTCACAAATGAAATGTCAGTGACAGTTCAGTAAAACAGCTATAAATAATCACTTGGAAAATACCAACAGCAAATACACCTAGAAATAGTTGTGTTACCATATACAGATAACAGTATATAAGAAAAGGTTATTTGCAAACCATTATTTTCAGCTTCTTAGTAAATGTCCTCTTCTGTGCAGAAGAAGAAATACCCATAAGCAGGTTATAAACAATAACAAAAGGCAAAAAGGAAATCACAATATGGCAACAATTTACAGTTATGGTTAGCACATACTTTTGTGGACGATAGCCATTACCCAAAAAATAACTTACTGACAGATCAATGAAAATGGTTAGAATTAATTGTTCTTACTAGTAGTAAGAGGGATCTGGAATGGATTCTGAGGGTCTTCAGGTATCCAATTGAAATGGGAATCATCTGTGGTGGCTGCTTGTTCACTTTCCCTTCCAGATGGAGTGCTGGGTGCCAGTGGCTCCTTGGTTGCTTTCTCTTGGTAAACACCATCCACGGGCTCTGTGGCTGTCATGATGATGATGACATGTTCAACTTTGAAAGGGACAACTCACACCACCACCACCCGTATCATTTCCTGCACCACAACAAGCCAGAAAGCACATCCACCTTCCTCATCCAAAGCACAGAAGGAGAAGACAAGACATGAAGGCCTCCTCTTCTTCTTCCACACTACCACTGGTTTCTGAGTGACCCTTGAGCACCACATCCATGCTTGCCAAGCTGGAGCGAGATGTTGGCTACACATATGGATCCCAGTGACAGATGGACAGAAGAGACTTTCAGAAGAAGAGATCATAGCAGCAACAACCTGACCCTGTAACTCAGGAGTGAACAGCCACACAGCAGCTACATCTGTGGCTGTCTTGCCTGGCCATCTACCAGTGAGGAGAAGCAAGAAATTGATTGCGGAATTCACAGGATGTAATTCTTCTGTTATTGCCCTTCCCTCACCACTGGGACAGCACTCCCCAGTGATGGTGCTGCTGCTGAGTCACAGGATCAAGTCGTATGATCAACCCACCAGAGCTCCTCCACCACAAAGCATATCGAACCTGATCCCACTGAGGTACAAGAAAGGAAGACGAGGCTGGAGATTCAGAATCACCAAGGTGCATGTCTTGCAGAACATTTAGGATGACACCCAAAACCAGGCTCAGTGAAGGACAGAAACCACCAAAAGTACCAGCAAGAAGTCCCTTATGCCTTGTCCACAGATCCCACCATGGATTTTTTGTGCTGCAAGTCCACACTACCAATGTAGATCCCCAGGATGAGAAAGATAGCTAAAGGAGTCAACTTCAGAAGAAATAATGTCTCATTTCACAGCAGGCATGAGAAATGAGGATGATCCATTATTCTTACTGGTACCCATCAGAGAGTCATTACCAGCTTTGATCACACTGGCTGTGGTCCTGTGGAGGATTTCATGCCCTGGGGTATCTGTGGGGTTCCTGTTGCTTTCTGTGCCCTGTCCTGGTTCATTATCTGAAGGCAGAGGTGGCTGAGTTGGGTCTTTGTGGTGGGCACCATCAGGAGAGGCAACAGCTGTTACCACAATGTGAGGTGTCCATACTTTCTGAGTTATATCTTCTGGTACCAGAACATCAGTGGAGGCTGTGAGTGTTGTGATGATGATGGCTAAGTTAACTTGAAATACATGTAAAGAAACCCACTTTACATATTCCCTCTTATTTAATTTACTGATCTCTACCTTTTTCTTTATCAGCCTATGTAGAATAAGTAGTGAGAAGAAGAAAAAAACCCCAACCCACAAGCAAAGAATATCTTCTGTATATGTCACACTCTTTTTGGGTTGTCTGTTCCTTCACTAATATTCTGATAATAAAGTTGAATATCTATTTAAAATTACACCACTGACTTAACATCTCTAAGCAAAATGAGACACCAAAAGATGCACTTACAAACAACATAGCCTAAAGTGTGAGTTTTGAAAATACCTACTAAACACTATTTAGAAGGGGGAAAGTAGTAATATTATTGTCAGAATAAAATGAGTATAAGAATTGCTGTTGTTACACTGGAATTAGATTAGCATGACTTAATTTAAAGTATTTGAATAAATTGCTAAATCATACTTGGGTTTTCATATTTGCAACTGATCTATCAAACCACAAAAAGCTTAACAAGCAATGAACTGTGAAGCTTTACAGAATTTCTCTTTCATGCTTAGAAAACAGGAGTAGGGAGTAGAGAATGCAACTATATTTTAATCCACAAACTATTTTAATCCACACAAACTTTAGCTTGCATAGCTCTTTGGCAAATCCTAAATGTTGTGGATTAAATAATCCTGATGAAAATGGATTTTGAAGAAGAAAAGGGAGGGCATAAATGCTATTTTTCCTTAGAATTTCATTTTTGGAAATCCAAGAAGGATGTAAAAGGTTCAAAAGCACTGTGATGTAATGAAATCCATTATATTGCATTAATTAACAAAGCAATATTTTGAATGGGGATAACTTTAGCTGGATACAGTACAGAGCTTAGGAATCTAAGTTAGAACCTCACAGACCTACATGAACTAACTCCTGTAAGTTATTTCAAATTGTAGAGTATTAAGAGAATATGAGGCAATATCAAGATCAGCAATGATCAGACATGAAAACTGACTTTAAGTTTATGATTCATTTACACCACAGGCCATGTCCACAAATCAACTGTTTTCTCAGTATCACCATCTACTACAAATAAACCTGAGAAAACTTGGGGGACATAAGGAATAGGACACCCAGGGGAAAAAAAAAAAACCATAGGTAGAGAGTGATTCTTGTTGGGATATTCACATGCAACAGAATCATAAAAACATTTGCACTGCAAGTTCACAACAAGAATGCAGACCCTCAAGAGGAAAAAGTCAGGGAAAGGAGTCAGTTTCAGAAGAAATAATGTCTCATTTCACAGCAGGCATGAGAAATGAGGATGATCCATTATTCTTACTGGTACCCATCAGAGAGTCATTACCAGCTTTGATCACACTGGCTGTGGTCCTGTGGAGGATTTCATGCCCTGGGGTATCTGTGGGGTTCCTGTTGCTTTCTGTGCCCTGTCCTGGTTCATTATCTGAAGGCAGAAGTGGCTGAGTTGGGTCTTTGTGGTGGGCACCATCAGGAGAGGCAACAGCTGTTATGATGGTTTAATAACAGATGAGTTAAACACAGATTATTAAATCAGCTGTGAATACCATCTGTGTGCTGCAGTGACCTTCCCATTCCCATCCCATTCAAGTCTCCTGTTCATCTTACAGTGCTGTTACCCTTTTCTCACCACAAAAAGGAAGAGAAGGGAGATCATGTCCTGTACATCATCACTGCTCTCTCAATATTTGGGTAAGACATTTTCATTTGCTATTCTCATCCACTTTTTTACTTTATCAAAACTATTCCTAAGTACAGTAGAAACAGGGAAATGACAGAGACAGCAGTCATGAGATTCCCTGGCCTGAATTCCAGACTGACCATAGAGCCTTAGCTTCTGGGGCACTGTCACATGCTGTTAGAGCAAGTTTACATGACAGATATCAATAGTGACAGTAAAGAACTCTCTTGTCAGGCGTCGATTCTCCTGTTACTCAAGACACTGAGTGGTGACAAGCTACAGAAAATGGTTAGAATTCATTGTTCTTACTAGTAGTAAGAGGGGTCTGCAATGGGTTATGACGATCTTCAGTGTCTGGAAAAACTCCAGGTATCCAATTGAAATGGGAATCATCTGTGGTGGCTGCTTGTTCACTTTCCCTTCCAGATGGAGTGCTGGGTGCCAGTGGCTCCTTGGTTGCTTTCTCTTGGTAAACACCATCCACGGGCTCTGTGGCTGTCATGATGATGATGACATGTTCAACTTTGAAAGGGACAACTCACACCACCACCACCCGTACCATTTCCTGCACCACAAGGCAGAAAGCACATCCACCTTCCTCATCCAAAGCACAGAAGGAGAATACAAGACATGAAGGCCTCCTCTTCTTCTTCCACACTACTACTAAAGTTTCTGAGTGACCCTTGAGCACCACATCCATGCTTGCCACGATCACCAGAGATCCCAGGGACAGATGGAGAGGAGAGACTTTCAGAAGGAGAGACCATATCACATTTTTAGAACCCTATTTTGATGTTGCAGATAGTATGTGTTATATGAGACTTCATCATGATGTTGTGTCATGCCAGTTTTGTAAATTCCTTTCTCTCATTATCCCATGAACCAGAGGGACAAATACCTTGAAAAAATCTATGAAAACAACACTCTCTCCCCAGATGACTATTCACAAATTAAATGCATTAACCTGTTGATGTACAAATACATGTATGTATGAATTTGACTTCATGATAAAGACAGTTTGGCAACATCAAATAATATAAGCTATGTAATTAGCTGGATGCAATTTTACAGACGAGTTTCACTAAGGAATGGAAAGCACTGAAAGTGATGTTGTCAAGTAAAGAAGAAATGTGTTACACAGAGCTAAGATTGAAAAGTTCTGTCTCACCACCACCCTGAGCGCAGAGAAAATTAATCTATCTATAAATAACATCATTATTTTAAAGAGATTAGTAATTACTCTTCTCTAAAGGTTCATGGACTATCTTTCCAGGACAGGTCATCTGAGAGACAGAAGTGATGTGATATAAGTAACTGACATTATTACTAGTACCTGTAGTGGAAGACTCTTTATCTTGATCATTTTTTCTGGAAGGAATAATTCTATCTGTTACAGCAGGCTGTGTGGCATAATCCTTTCCCTTGTCCCAGCCTGGATACACCAATGGGTCTTGTGCTGAGTTGTTCTGTTTGGTCCCATAGCTGGAGACCGTAGCTGTTATGATGATGGTGAAGCAATTATGAACTCAGTATATAAAGATCCATTTCTCATATTATTCTTCTCTTCGGTTCTTGTCTCTATGACAGGCCTTGCTCACATGTCTACTACATTTAATGGCAAAGAGAAGTATAGTAGATTTGCTTCTCATCCTGGTTTATGTTTAGAAAAGCTGCCTACTGATGTAGGACCAACTGCTTCCTCAAACTGAGCATCTGCTTTTCAGAATTGAGGCATCTTATTGTTTATCAAAAGTATTTCTCAAAATCATGCTGTTGACTTGGTATTGGTCAATGTCAAACCAATATCCACTGATGCAGAATTAGGAACAGCAAAGGCAGAAATAACTGCAAGAATATGACCCATCAGTGAGATTTTAATCACAGAATTTGAGTGTATTGACTATATCAATTTTTTTCCCTTCTAAATGCCACTGTTTTATTAGTTGCAGTATCTCCAGGAAAACAGACAAGGAACTATGAAAGAGGGGAAGGCTACCATATGCTACAGATTTGTGAGCAGTGCACACAATAAATAAGATGGCATTCACCTGGAGATAATCTGATACTGCCATTATTTAGAAATATTATCCATATCAATCAACCTGTAGTTGGTTGCCACAGCAAAGGAGTACTCAAATCTTATAAGCAACATAACTCTCCTTAACCCTTCCAACCCAATAAAAGAGAAAACCAAGAAATTTGCCACAGTGTGTTACAATTTGAATTGCAACCAGGCCATTATATATTGCTATAGCAGTTTGGTATAGTGTAGTATAGTATAGTATAGTACAGTGCAGTGTGGTATGGTACAGTACAGTCTGGTGTTTCATTGGAATGTGCTGCCCAGGGAGGTGGTGAATTCACCATCCCTGGAGGTCTTCAAGATGAGACTGGATGTGGCACTTAGTGCCATGATCTAGTGACCACAGTAGGGTTGGACTTGATGATCTTGGAGGTCTTTTCCAACCTGGTTGATTCTATAATTCTATTATTCTATTAATTGCTCAGGTTTATTCACAGAACCTGTGTTAGGCCTCAGGGGTCAGAATGCAAAATTGTTCTTAAAAAAAATAAATCCTAAAATTAAACCCTTAGTAAACCCTGATAATTTACTAAAATGTGACCTGTAATATTACCTGTATGAGAAGATTCATTTTCAATATAATTTTCACCTACAACAGTAAATTCATGTTGTTCAACACTCCCAGTGGTATGTGCAGGATTCTGTCCTTGACTGATCCCTCCAGAATGAACGCTGTGTAATAGTGGATGTTGGGTTGGTCCTTGATGTTTTTCATTTTCACTTGTAACTACTGCTGATAAGATGATGATTGAATCAGTAATGATCAAAATACCCAACATCAGTCATATTATTCTCAGCATCATGGTCTACATAACAAGGGTGCTTAGCTTTTGCATTTTGGCTTTTTCTTGTTGTTGTTGCATTTGGTGTGAAACAAAAGATGAAAGAAAACAAAAGTCCTTCACAAATCCTATCACACAAATGCATCACCAGGCTCAGAAGAAGATTTAAGTGTGCTAGAAAGGATCCCAATGACCAGTGGAAGAGAAAAGGAATCAGAGAAGCAGAGGAAGAGCACAGAAACAACAGTTTGCATCTCTAGTTCACATTTAGTAATATGAACTTAACTGTTGAGTCTGTATATTCTGGGTTTTTAAAGTGAAAAATTGATGAACTTTCCCTTTTGACTTAATATCTCAATTACACAAAGTTGGCTCCAAGGAAATTGTCCTTTCTTCTGAGACTGGATGTATGAAACAAGTAGGTTCATATATTTGAAGTTGAAAAATGTACTTATTTTGAGCTTAATAATAATTAAAGCACTTACTGCTAAAATAAATTCATCTCTCACTCTTTAATTTGCTGTTGTTTACACAGCAGAAGATACAGTCAGAAATCAGCTGAAGTACCACCACCATAAGAGCTTTTCTAATGAACATTAAGAGGTTTAGAAAAGATATATCAGAAAACATAAGATAAGCATTAGAACTCAGCTGGAAATATATTTGCCTTAGGTATCAAACATTTCCATGAGGGATAAATTAAAAGTAAAGCAAAGGTCCTTAATCAGAGCAGGCAACAAATAAGCTGGACCTGTTACATATGCCATAAGTCACCAGCTAGAAAAACCTATGCCATTTCCCAAAAAGAGAAAAACTGGAGGGATATTTATCTTCACATTCAGGCAATGAAATGCTCATAAAGAGAGCACTCACACAAATGTAATTCATTACTCTTGAGTTAAACGAATACATATATTTGCTCTTATAAAAAAAGAGTTCAAATTAAGTAATGTATGAATGCAACTGATCTAACAATACCTCACAACTAAAAGAAAATTATCAAAAAATTATTTCTGGATGATTAAAGAACCTGTTTTGATGCCAATTGTATAAACTTTCACCATTCAAAACTATTTCAGAACCAGAAACGCACAGCAAAAATAGCTCGAAAACACACCCTATAAGCCTTTGCCTACAGAAGTTTCTAGGCTTGAAGAACATATTGGCATCTCAGTTGGCTACTGGCACTAACACTGGTAGTACAATGTTCACATTCATCTGGAGGTAGTATATTACCCTTTGTAGCACAGGTTCATGTATTAGAAACCCTAGCTCCCTTTTTTGTCTTTTTTTGTTCAGATTTTACGATACAAATTTTGAAGTGGAGAAAGTGGATTCTTTTTCTCACCAAGGTAGGCCACCAGAAGTTACTGTCTGCTCAGTTTTATTACCTTTCTGGCAGTGCAAATTTAGAAATCCCAGAGACGTGAGGAAAAGTGGCAAGTAACAAAAGGTAGACTTGGGATGACAGATGAATGTTACAGATGTCACCTCTGAGGGCTGTGGTATATCTTGCAAAAGGCAGACTTGGGATGACAGATGAATGTTATAGATGTCACCTCTGAGGGCTGTGGTATAAATAATATGAATGTATGATACTGCACTGAGGCCAATGGTATGGGAACTACAAACAGCAGCACCATGAGTGATAAACTTCATTCAATTATGTCACAAATCTGAGTATTATCTGAAATGCTAGATGGCTTTACCCCTCCTAGCAGAGCTAGAATACTGCTTCTCTTCATCTGTATAGCTGGGGCTCCAATGATCTTGTGTGGAGAGTTCCAGAAGTGTTTCATGTTGTGAGTTCACAGCTGTTAGGACAACGGAGGATTCAACGCTGACTATGCTCTAAATCTACCACTATTATCCTACAGTTAGTGTGTGCCATATGGTTATGGAAAATGGAAATTCATGCATAGCCTAACTCTAGTGTGTCTATTCTTATCAAATCCCTTTACATCAATCCAGTTGTTCTTTTCTTTGCATTGGATAATGCAAAGTTTCCCAAGAAGTATGAGGAAAACAAGAAATAGAAAAATAATGTATAGCAGAAGTAGTGAAAACCATTACAGCAATTACAGATATTTAAGCTCATGTCTGAAGAATAATGCTGGACCTAAGGAACATGGTAGATGTCTGAACATGGAAGACATGCTTGCTAAGGACTCAAAAAGCACTTAGATTCATGTTAGAAGATTCACCACTGAGGTCAAAAGCAATGGTCAGCATAAAACTGAAAGCACCTTGACAGCCACCAGGTAGCCAATGTTAGTCAAGAATGTTATAATGCAATTGAACAGATAAAATAAAACTTCTAGAAGAGTCTACAACCACAAACTGTACACACTTAAACCCACAGAGCATGCAGACACCACTAGCCACAGAAGGTATTTGGAACACAACACACCTGAGGAATTAGTTACCAATGCAGAGTCTCAAAGAGAAATAAATTCACACCAGAAATACCCAAAAGTTTAGTCAAAAGAATAAAAAGTCCCAAAGCAAAACGCTTTGCTGATTTTGCATTTGCTTCTAAAAACAAAGACAACTGTTGAAAAAAATGCAAATACTGCACTACCCTCAGAAAAATAAATGTTTCTAAACAGTGATTTAGAGTAAATGCTGAGTAAATAAGTGTACAGACAACAGACACATTAAGATGTGCTTAAATTAAATTACATTGCAGAAATAGAACCAACTGTTATCTTTGTAGAAATAAGAGCACAGCAGTATAGTCATTAATGACACCATCTATACTAGGAAACAATCCAGGGCTTGGGCCATTCCCTGGTCATACAGCCAAGTAGCAGACTCTGTGCTTCAGTGACACACAGCATTTGGCTTTGAGCTTCAAATGTGGTAGTTTTCTGGTGCTCAGAAAAAATGATTTCAGGTATAGATGGCGTTTGAATAAAAAGAGTTAGCAGATTGACCACTGTGGGACTATTGATATCAGAAAAAAAAAGGCTATATATTAAAATCTCTCAGTTGCAGTATTGGATTATACCTAGACATCAGAGGTCACAAAGCAAATGTGATGATGTCAGAAGAGTGCATAGGAAAAGCGTAGAAGGTAGCAAATCCGAGACTGTTTCGTTGATACTTCCCCATGAAAAATGCACTTGAGGTTTGGCCTCAACAAATTGTGCCTGAATATATTCCACAGACAGGAAGTCTGCTATGTTTAAAATGAACTAGAATTATTTTAACACTCAAAAAAGAAAAATGGAAAACAAGATAAAATTTTTTTCTGCCTGGAAAGTGACACGTGAATGCAAACATTTGAACAGGCGTGAAACTGAGAGGATAATTTTAAATTGTGATAGAAAAGATATCAGTTTTATCAATATGGACCTCAGGTCATTTTCCAGTCACAAAAGAGATATTTCTGAAGGAACAGCTGATTAGAAGAGGATCCAATTTTCACACAATTTATGTGTGGCAAAGGGGGAGCAATATCAGGTAGGACAGGAAGAATAAGAAAGTAACCATCCAAAAACAAAGGAAGTTCCTTTTGCTCTATATTCAGCCCCTAATCAAAGAGCCCTCTTAGCATGACATTCTT